AAGAGAAATTTGAAGGTTGGTACTTGTACATATAGCAAATAAAATATCTGTATAAATTCAAGAATATTGCAAAATATTCACATCTGCAGAATTATAAATAGCATAAGTAGCCTTTGTGGGGTGATGAAGAGGGAATGAAAGTTGAATAGGTCCAGGGTTTTCAAAGATTGTTTACTAATAGGGTACATTAAGAATTGGATAGGTGGGTCTTCACTGTCAATTAAATCACCATTATTGCCTCATATGTGGGCTGCATGATTATAAAGAATATCATTTTTCAGATATTTATGAAATGTTATGAAGATGGCTACAGTTATGATTTTCGGCTTTTCAATTATGATTAAAGGAAAAAGAGTTGTCAAATACTTGTGCAAACTTTTCAAATTAAAGGTCACCATGTGTTCCTTGACAGGTTTGTGTTTAAAACATAACTAATATTATGAATATAAGTCTGGGAAATTATACTTTGTAAAGAATATTTCCTTTCATTCTTATATTTCTCGTGCAATTTCAGATTATTCAAATTCATTTCCCTGGTTAGGGCTGGGCTTTACAATGGGATTTTCAGCTGTGGAGCTATAAAGAATTACTACATGGGGTTTCCAATGTAGCTTTGTGATAAGAAGAGGAGAGACAATGCAGATGCAGCATTAGCATTACCAATTACTTACCACTGCTGAGAAAATGGTAAAGATATGTTATATTATAATACCTCTACTGTAATTACTTTGTATAAATTAATACCATAAAAAAATCTCTATTTCCCCGAGAAGTGACTATTGCCCTCATCTGAGGACTACTCCCTGGAAAATCAGAGCTACTCCCTGGGACTACTCCTTCATGAATATTTATTAGTAATTTTAACCAATCAAAGTGTTCAGTGGGTGGAGCATTCAAGGAATCTCGAGTCCGTGACGTCATTTTATTAGCAATGTACATGTAGCTATGATGTCAAAACATTTTGACGTGCGATGTCAAAATCATACTTGAATTCAACCAAAATGAAAACAACGATAATTTTTCAAAATGTCAGTGAAAATACTTTTTAAAAATAATTTAATTAAGGAATATTTTTAAGTTTTGTGTGAGTTATTGGTGTGTGAATCACACAGACTTGTCACGTAGGCATATTTCATGAAGCGCGCTAGCGCTTCATGAAAAATATGCCTACGTGCAAGTCTTTGTGATTCTCACACCAATAATAACATTCCTTATATTTACATTTTACATGTTTGGAAGCAACTGAAATATACTTATTATTTGAATTTCTCGCTGCCCTATATATCGTTGCATTTTTACTAACGTCGCTGCAGTCTCATTGTGACGTCACGTTAACGCACGTTTCTCCATGTACCGGGTATATTTCTACACGTGAGTATACACGAAAATGTTTTTCAAATCAATTTCACAGTATGCTTACTAGAAAAACACAGCGAATGTAAATATTTGTTTAAGGACACGATGCTTCACTTATCATACAATGTGTTAAACCGCATGCATTTGTAATTATGCCTCTACAGTTTTTTTTAAAATGTCGGAATATCTGGTTAAAAAAATTTAAATCGCTTATCATTGTTCTGGTATAATAAAAAGTTATGGAATGGGAACTTGGGAAATAGCAAATTTAAAGTTCCCCTTGGCAGAGAACTATTTCCTTTGGGAAATAGTTTCCTCCCTGGGGAATCATAAATTTACTATTTCCCTCATACCCATTTCATAACTTTATACTATTGTACATGGATAGGAATTGCCTTGTCTGTCTGTTGATTTGCCACATGCATTTTTCCCTACTCTGTTACTTTACTTCAAGGATATATAAAGCTCTTGTTTTCTTCAAAGATAGTTAGAAGCTTACCCAAGTCATTTGATGACATTTTCTTCAATTGATAAATATAAATGTAGCATTATCATAAACATGACATTTATTTTAAAAATCTTAGAATATGTCTAGTATGGTTTATTTCAATTTTAATTTGAAAACTGTCCTTTTTCACAGGTACATGCCTTGAGTACTACTTTTGTGTATTTGGAGACAGTCCAGTTGTTCTTTAAGCCAGAAGTGGAAATTTCAATGCTTGTTAAATTTTCTCCAGAAGTTATTGGATGCTACATAGGAAGAAAATGGGGTCATACTGAACAGAATAGATTGGATACACGTTATAGATTTTGAAAGCTTGAGACCTCAAGATCAACCTAAATGGTGTTCCAAACATCAAGAAAAAAAGACAGTTTATGATTGAAGAAGCTTGTATAGTAGCCAAAATTTCAGGGTTTTTCATATATGTTAACTTATACAATTTTATTGGTACATGTACTTAAACATTGTTAACATCTTGATATTTAATATGTATCAGGTTTAACTTGCAGGAATACACAAAAATTCAGAGTAAATTTTAAGTGTTTGTTATGTTAGAAAAGATCAAAGATCAATGTTAACAGTGCTTTGTCTTACCAAATATAACACTATTATAAAGACTACATGTAATTTCCTGTATACAGGTATAGCAAATAATTCAGAATATGATTTGGGGAAACTGTGATTTTTTATTTTAAATCTTACCTTAATTTAGAACCATGATGTATACTTAAGCAAGTAGATTTTTTTCAAGCATACAAAATTTCAAGGTCATCATAATTTTGGAAGTGAATATAAAATATCAGGAAGCAGTCAAGCATTGTAATTTTTTTGTTGTTGAATGTACTAAGTTATTGAGTAATATTCAAATTTTAATCTGCAATGAAATTAAAAATTATAAATGTTTTAATTTGTTGATTTTTAAAACTTCATGTTCATTCATTTTGAGTTTGTTGCCATGACAATATGTCTGTCAAGAAAATGGCTCTGATATTCCTTTTTGTTCTGTTTGACCCTTGACCTTTGACATTGTGACCTCAAAATCTAAAGGGGTCCTCTACTTTTCAAGAAACCAGTGTACTAAATTTAATGTCTGTCAAGCAATGGGTCCGCAAGATTTTGAATGATTAAAATCTATATAATGGTATATTGAGAATTATAACTCTTGACTTTTGACCTTTCAAGCTCCAAATTAAAAGGGGCCATCTACTTATTAGTAGGTACCAGTGTACTATGTTTATTTATCTATTAAGCAAATGTTTTTTTAAGATAAGAGAGAACACACTTGGTCTACTGATTGACAAACAGGTACTAAGCAGTATGTGAATATTGCCCTGCTTAAAGAAAATGTAAATGAATACAATTCTGGTAACCCCCCCCCCCCCCAATTAACCCCATTTAACCCCCGAAGAATTAATTATTGATTGAAAACAAAAAATGTACAATATACTGGTATTTTTCAACAGCAAAATTTAATTTTTGAAAATGTTTAAATCAGCAAAATAATTCCTTGCTGAAGTTCAGGGATGAGAAAATTTGAAAATTCACAAAAAAATGTCCAACTTTAAGTAAAAAGTACAGCAAAATATTTGAGAGTCCAAAGACAGATTTTTTATATAATGTAGACAGACATGTTGTCTAATAATTGGTATGAGATTGAGTTGATTCTAAGCGTCACTTTCTGAGTTATAGGTTTTTGAAAAGTGAATATTTTCACCAGTTTTCAAAAATCTGGATATATGCCAGATTTGTGACCTTTTTGCACTTAAACGGGAGCACAGTTTGTGATTATGAAAAATTTTCTGAAACAAGTGTATCTTGTTACTTTCAACCATATATGGATATTTTTTATCATTACCAAGTAAAATGCTGAATTTTTAAATATAAAATCCTCTAAAATTCCTGTTTTCACCCTGCGTAAGGACCAAGAATTCTATTTTTAGTAACAGTGTCGATTTAACCCCTTAAGTGAGACCACACTGAAAAAATTTTGTGGCAAAATATTTCATACTATAGAAGAAATTTACACACAAAATATGAGGTTGATCCGAGAACCTTGCTCCCATAACCTCTTGCATGGTTTTCTCGTAGACATGCTCTTAAGAGCCATAGCGCATTTGATAGTAACTTTCGCCTCCTCTAGTAGTAATTGTTTTATATACATCGTTTAACAAAAACTTTGTCATACAATGTTACTTTTTACATATCTTAAAGCAAATCACACAAAAATAATTTGCAATATTTACATTCCCTCATATGATAGATATAAAAATCGTTCAGTTTATATGGAGAATATACATGTAGTAAATACTGAGAAACCCCCTAAAGAATGACAAACTGTAGCAACAAACCACCCTTAACCAGAAAAACAACTTCTAAATAATTTTATTATGATATGACTGTACATCAATACATTTAGATAATTTTGGTTAAAGGTGGTCTTCATATTGAAAATGTTGAAAATATGTATTTTCTTCTAAAATCATTTCAAGATTCAACAATCTGTCTTAAATTTACCCACATATTTCTCACGACTTCGTCGTCATCTTCATTAACGTTTTTTTTTTTATGTGATTTTCAAAAGGGATACTACTTCTTGTACTTTTCTAATTTCAATTTGTTGACATTTTTTTCAGCTATAAATAATAACTAAAATCATTAGGATAAAATGGCTTCTGTAAGCAGAAAACGACCTTGTAATGGCTCAGGAGATATGCTACCAAATAAAAGACGCAAGCAAGAAAAAGGTATAAAAGGTATTGAGATTATACTTATATATTTTTTATATATAACTGAACATATGACCATGTAGCAAAAATGATCTTTCTCTAGAAGACACAGTATTAGTCCCTTCCCTTCCATTGTTCGTTCGTTTAAACTTCGATCAATCCTAAAGATCAATCATAAATATCTTAAGGTACATTGTATGTTTAATAGAATAAACTGAAAAAAAAACCTCAATAGCATAAATTTCTTTTTCATCCATAGTTTAACAAAATTGTTAAGGTAAATTGTAGAAATATTGTAAATATTAATAACAAAATTATGATTTTTAACATGATCAAAGAAGGCTTATAAAAATTGATATCGATGCAAGCATACATTAATTTCTTGTATTATCTGTCCTTAATTGTACTTAGATATTTCAAAAAAAGACATCTTGCAAAAATTTGAAGAGTGGTTTCATCAGAAGCATGGAGCAATAAACATTAGACATTTATACATGGGAGATGTCTGCTCAAGTACAGAAAATTTGACAAAAGGGACAAGAGTTATTGTTTCCGTTATTGAGAGTGAGACAGCTATTGAAAATGAAAAATACCAATGCGATGGAGAAAAATTTGCTGTCGTTTATAAACTTTGGAAGGAAAATACTGTGTCGGATGAAACGGATGAAAATGAAGTTTATGGTCATGAAAAGATAAAAGAAATCACCAAGTACCTGAAAGAAAATGCAGATTCAATAATGAAAAAACACTCAAACCTTGAAATGATCCGTGCATCGGGATTTCGAATAAAGCGGAACAAAGCAAAGAAGAAAAAGGCTGTTTCTGAACCTTGTATAGCCATATATTGTTCCTATAAAGGCGTTGTTCCCGTCGGTGAAGAAGAATTTCCTACAGAATTAGATGGATTCGCTACGGATATAAGGGAGGGTTGTTTTCATTTGCATGGCAACTATGATATTTGTGCAAACTCAAAAGATCAGCTTGATCCCCTAAGAATGGGCGCAAGCATATCACGTGAAAGTGGTAAGAGTCAATATTTCTCTTCTTTCTCTTATATTTTTGCAATATATCCGTTGATTGATAGGGGAAAACTTGTTCATTTGGAGATTTTTTGGAAAGGTCTACTTACACTGTACCAGTCGCAACGGATAAATAACCAGCCTGCATCTGCATGACAATTTAAAATCATATTCTTTTCCTTTGTATCGCTCATTTGTACACAACTTTGTAGGTTTGTAAATATGGATGGAAACATTTTCTTTCAACTCTTTTAAAATTTGTAATCATGCTCAGCGACCTTTACACACTGTGATGTGAAGAGCTGCAACAAACTTTCACCTCGCTTACCTATCCTGGCACAGCCTACATGAAGACCAACAGGTTTGGTGTACGTCTTTTATTCCATTTTCCACCGTTCATATACATGCTGTTTTTAGCCTCACTTTTTTTTTTGCCAATAAACGGTAACGTTTTCACTATATAGAGAGAATGAAATTGTTTGAAACAATCTGGGATTTAGTATAGTTCAAGTTCATCCTGGCAAAGTGTGTAGTTTGTAAATAATATTAAGGAGGAATGATTTCAGTCTGTGCATCCAGAACTTTTCCTTGCTTTTTCGCTGAGCTTTTGTCCATTTTGAATTGTGGTCAATAACTGCCATTTCCTTCAATTTTTGACCTTCAATGTTGAAATATTTTCCTTCGGGTTCATTCAGTTTTTTAGTCCTAATGGTCAAACGCTGATTATTAACTCTTCTTCGGAGATCTCCTGTTTTTCCCAAATTACTGTTTGGTGCAAACTTTGCAATTGATGTGATAAATGCAGTTGTCAGTATGACAGGACAAATTCCCTAGTACTTTGTAGCTGCGGCCTGTAACGGGGCTGTTAAAGCTGTGTCAGAACTGTGCTTACAGAGAGGACATCTTCTTTCAGAAAAAGTTTTAAAACCCCAGTTAGCTAATGGAATGGCCAATCTGGTTCTTACTTCCATGTCCTTTAGGTTCCTTGGGCGTCTGTATGCAGTCAATTAAGGTAATTAAAGATCACGCAGTTATGATAAGGCTGTCCCAAGGCTTAAAATGTATCGAAAATATACCTTTTTATTTTAATTTCAATACGTTATCCTTGTTTCAATTTGCAGTCAACTTGTGATGAGTTTAATCGGGTATTTTAATAAAGCATCACGTGACGGACATTTATGATTTTCTTAAACTTTGCACAAAAATCGCATCTGCACAAGTGCAAAACAAAATTATTGTGAAAAGTTTGATACATAGATCAATTCATCACGATCTCTGGTACATATAAAGTTAGCTAGGGGCAAGTGTGATTTTTATTTCTTAAGAAAATATTTGACGAGAAATTTAACTAACCAACATAAAAAGGTTTATTTTTGAGTTATGGCAGTTTATACAAAAATGGATTAACTACATACAATCCCCCAGTAAACTTCAGTTAGAGGACTTACTTCTTCTGTGGATTCACACAGAATATCTTCCATTTTTCCTAGTTAATCACTTGTACATGTCAAAAATAAACCTGATTAATAAATTTTACTCAGTTTACGGGCGATAAGGGGAGCGTTTGACCTTCAGTTTTTCGCTATTATTTAAGGAATCACTGTTTAGTTTTGAGAGTATGCCAGGGTATCAACAATAGTGGGAAACATGGGATAATTTGCATAACGGGCGACATATTAAGGTTGTTTGGAAGAGTTACTGCAGTTTGAACCGTTTGATATTTTTCGGATAGCCTTATCCTAGCCGCTGACCTCTGCCATTCGTTCCTTTGAGTGCAGAATTGGCGGGTTCTTTATATGGATGCCGATTTACTTGTTACTGAACTGTTATGCAACATACACTTAATGTTCACGTCATTGAAAAAGAAACTTACCATTTCCATACAAGCACCTTATAGCGTGGTACACGTTTCTCAAATGTTTAGCATAAATAATATAAGAACGAAATATTTGAATTTAAGATTAAATGAACGTTATAAAATTCTTGATTGCCGGGATACAGTATATGCGTGATTTTGCGTTAGAAATTCGAAATGGTATATGCGTTAAAATGCGTGACTGCGGGGAAGGGGTTAACGATGGGATGGAATGTGATTTAATATAGTATATCCCCTTTGAATCAGTTCATAATAAATTGTAGCAAAATCATTGTATTGTTTTTTAAAGTTGGGATGAAATGAATGATATATAAAAAGATTAATGTAACATCAATTTTAGATGCACCATTTTGCATGAAATTTTGTTATTGAAGTATCTAAATGTATATAATTCTAAATTGACAGGCGGAGATGGACATGGAACACTTGGTGGATTCGTCCAGTTGAATGATGGTGAAATTGGATTCATAACATGTGCCCATGTTTTGCATTCGGTAGATGAAATGTTGAGAAATGCATCTAATTTGCAATATCCTGTTGTTCAGCCATCCGTATGGTACGAAGGGTCACAAAGATGTGGTAATGTTTTTAAGTCAGTTTTTCCTTCCTCTGCCATTGTAGACGGAGTTAGTGTTGATGCAGCAGTTGTCAAATTGACAAATCGGATTCCAAAGAAAGCATTACTCGCAGATCTGACGACGGCAAGATTGAAAAGACTCGGTATTATTTTATCACAATCGTTTCATTTTTCTTTTTTTCAGTTTTTGTGTGTATATAACTGATTGTTTAATACATGTATGTAATGTCACTTAATGAATTTTTATAATAGTTAGATACTTCTGGTGTGAAATTAATGAAAAGATTAAAATAGATGGTTCAAGAATTCTTTCAAATATCCACAATAAGAAAAAAAAACATTTTTTTCTCACCTCACGAAAAATTATGAAGAATATACACACTTTTCTAATGTAGAGTTATCCTGAACAACCCTTCATTGCTCAGAAATAAAAAAAAAAGCCTTAAACAGCAAGCGCAAGTGTGCTGCTTGTGAAGCTTCTCCAGGTTATAACAAGCCTCTATATGATCTCTAAAATATGGCTTAGAATTAGAAATTTTAGCCTGTTATTAGAATTATTACAATAAATACGTTAATTTAATATTTGGCGACAATAAAAATTTTAAGGCGCAAAGGTGACTTAATTAGTAAAAAGAAATCAAGTCCTGTACTACTATGCTACATGTCTGTAGTTTTCATTCTTACTTGATTTGGTTTAATCATATTTCTCTCTTATTAGGTCACCTGAGTCACTCAGGTGACTTATTGCCATCCGTGCTTGTCCGTTGGCGTCCGTTGTGTGATAACATTTGAACATTTTCAGCTTCTTCTCTGAAACCACGAAACCAATTTTAACCAAATTTTGTATACAGCTTTTTGTGGGTGAAGGGGAAAAAACTTGTGAATTTCAGGGTCCCTGCCCCCCTAGGGCCTGAGAGGTGGGGCCAAAACCACTAAAATTATCGCAATCTTTAAAAATCTTCAATCAGCAATGAGTCCTCTACCAAAATTGTGAAATTCATGGCCCTGGGGTCAGGGGTTCTAGTGCTAGGGTGGGACTAAATAAGTAGGTAGTGAAAATGCATTATTTCTTTGAAAGTCTTCTTCTCTGCTCCTGGGTACTAAATAAACTAACTAAGTACATAGTTATGATGAGCAAGAGTGCCTTTACCAAAATTGTGTATTTTATGGCCCCAGGGTCAGGGGTTCTTGTTTTAGGGTGGGGCTCCAATGATTATATAGTGAAATGCATGAATTCTGTGAACATCTTATCCTTTGCTCCTGGTTAATGTGCTAATGATCTAATTACGTATTTAAGGCCAGGATTTATTTTTTTTTCAGTTTTACAAACCCTCCGCTCAAGGTTTTGAATTTTCAGAAAAAGATTTTAAAAAATTCTTTCCGATGTCAAATTTAAGTCGGGATCAAGATTTCAAATCTACGAACTCGCACTTTCGGTTTTACGATGAAACGGCGGGTAAATAAAGCTAGATCTGAGAAGATAGCTTGGTTTAGTGTAAAATTCATCGATAAGAGTGCCATTCAAAACGTTTCACCCGTTCAAAGGACAAATAAAATGCTGACGACTTGACGTAGCACAATGACATGCTGGTGAGATAATTATGTATTCGTTTCAAAAGTATCTGTCTGTAAATTATTTTCCTCCCCCAGGTTTTAAACTGCCCGTGATAGCTATTGCATATTGCCAGCGACATTGTTTAGGTCTCTGTTGTAGCTTACAGTATCATTCTTCAGAGAAAGGTTGCTTATGCATCAGATGTAATGAATAAAACTATGGGAGAAGTTAAGTCCATTGGAGGAAGAAATAAACAATAACCTGAAGAAAAAAAATGAACTATTAAAAGGCAAGAATATACAAATATATACAGGCATATACATGTAGTATCATTTGTATCAGCCAGAAAAATTATATCACATTTAATTGAAGAATATTCACCCTACTCCCCAATACTCCCTGTCTGTTTTATGATAGGAATTATAATTTTATGCATCAAGAAAATTTTAGAACAATGTCTACACGTATTAAAAAATGAAGATATGTTGAAAGACTTTTAAAGATTTGATTTTTTAAAATATATTTTGATCAACATCACAAAATTTATAATATGTTGACGGTGCGACCGTTAGAGCGAGCGCAAACTCTTCTATTGTTTTAATTTAGATCGGGATAGTCACACTGCACGTGACATTTGGTGCGTCTAGACTCTGACGTCACATGACGTCATATGTAAGTTACAAATACCAAGTAAAAACTGAACAGTGCTGAAAGTTGATGAAAAAAGTTACGTTTACAATTTATCTTCAATATGTATCCATTCAATCAAGGCGATTAACTTTTTGTTGAACATTTGCCGTCATTCTCGCGAGAGCGCAACTTTGCTAAGTGATGCATTATGGGTCATAATTACTGCGGCAAAAAATTCTAAAGAATGAATGTGCAGTAGTCCGAATTTTCTCTTCACCCAGGCGTTGTCATTAGAGCTCGCAGTTACGAGCGTCGCTTGACCCAAACTGGCAGATGAAATAAGCAATTAAATGTTCTACTTTCCTATTTGTAAGCATTGTGTGTACAGTGGTAAGGAGCCTATTAGGATAGCATAAAAAAGAATGTACAAATGATAATAATTGATTTATTAAAAAAAAATTTATTTTCTTCTCCTTCGGGACTTTTTATTCTTATGTTCATAACTAAGCCTAAGCATAAAAAAATGCTGGCCTTATAATGAAAAAAAGGGTCCTCTTTCAAAATAGATAATTTCAGTGCCGCTGGGTCAGGGGTACCAGGGGGGTACTTTGACTAAAAATAAATTAATGCTTTGAAATCTGCCCTTTGATAAGCAATGGTGCCTCTTTAAAAATTTGTGAATTTCATAGCTTTTGGATTAAAACACGAACCAAATACAATCGCTAGAAAGTTGTTACATGATACTCAGGTGACCTATAAGGCCCGTGGGCCTCTTGTATAATTGTACTCCTGTGTAAGATATTTGTAAAATTATTTTTATATCAGGGCCTTCTTTGTTAGATATACCATTTTTTCATCATAATAGCAAATATTCCAATTTTTGTAGGATTCTCTAGAAGTTTACTTCCAAAGTTTTGTTGTGGTAAAATACGTTCTGGGGAAGAATCACAAGATCATTCGAATGAAGGAGTCTTGAAATGTGGAATGGTATCAGGATTAACCCTTGGAAAATTGGTAGAAGGGGAAATATTTGCCAGATACCGAAATATCGCACTCTCCGATGATCAACAACGCGTTTCAACCACTTATATGTCACAACTTGTCATACGTGGAATACAAAATGTGCCCTTTTCTGAAAAGGGGGATTCCGGGGCTCTAGTATTTCAGTATAGCGATCTCAATGATTTGAAATGTATAGGTATGATTGTTGGTGGTGGTGGGGGTTTATCTATTGCCACTCCAATTACATCTGTTCTTGAAGCGTTGAGTGTGACCCTCATGGATTTTTAGTTCAACGAAAATTTAAAAAACTGGAAAAAATACTGCAATTTTTCTTTTAACCCTTTCTCTACCGGCACATTTTCAGCGTTTTTGCAAACCTTTTGACATATCCTTATAAATCAATTTATAACTTTTTTATTCAAAGAGTAATCTAGGCATAATGTATACCATTTTGTAGGGAATTTTCTGGAGATGATATTTCATAACTATGCAGGTACCTCACAACTGACCTTGCTAGTGGAAATTGAGGTCAAAGGTCAAATTAGTGCAGAATTTTATTGCATTTTTGACACATTTTAATTTTCAAGTTAAAAATTAACAGTGATACACATTGAAATAGGAAATTCAGAATAAACCCACAAAAGGGCATTATCCTGTACTACATTAATCACATAAACTTTTTTTTTTCAATTCTGCAAACAATGACTTTAAAGAGGTTGCTAAGCAACGGAGTATTTTTCAATTTTCAGGCAGTATTTCTTGTTCTTTGCTCATCCCACACACATTTATGCATTCCATTACATTGTAAAGTCAAATGTGGGGTAATGATACTAAATAATATACATCAGATAATTGTCTTAAAGTTTGACCTCATCAGATTCACTTTTTTTGGAGGTCAAAGGTCAAATAAGTGCATAATTTTAGAAATCTTTCCCAAAACTTTTCATCTTTCTTGCTAAAATTTGTAACAATGGATGCTAAAGAAGAAAATTCTGAATTTACTCTTTAGAAGGCATCATACTGTATTGCAATATCCACATATTATTTTTGTTCAAATTTGTGTTAAATGACCTTTAAATGATTGCTAAGCAACAACAATATTCAATTTTTTGGCTTTATAGGTTTCTTACTTCTTATTCTAGACAGTTTTCCATGGTAACGTTTGTAAGATATAAGGTCAAAAATAATGTATAAAACATCCAACAAATAATTGTCTTCAGACTAAAGTATTGACCCTGAAATTTCTGTTCTTTGGGGGTCAAGGTCATATCAGTACAGATATCTGCCTTAAATTGTAAGTATATATCAAATTTGAAATGCTTCAATTATTATGGACATATTGTCCAATAACTGACACATAAAATTGTAAACAACAAAATCAACAGAGATATCACAAAAGTGAATAGTTTTGTTTTACTTTGTTTTTTCTTTTTTTCAGATCTTGGTTGTCATTCAAAAAAATATATCTCTGACTTAAGTAAACTGGAACAAAAATTGTAAGATGTGTTCTCAAGTATTTCAATCTTAGTGACAAATACTATTAAAATCATATTAAGGTAAAAATGTATTGCAACCAGTATCATTTTTTAATTACACAAAAGAGAACTTATTATTTTGTCATTTTCAAAAACTTAGTCAAACACATTCTTTGTCATCTAGAATACATTGTATAAGAAAACATTTACAATTTTTCTTTTCTTACAAGAATTATTTTACATTTTCAACTCTTTACTGGGTCACTTGTTAAAACAACTTTTGTCATTTTATAAGCATATGAAAAAACAGCAAAGATGGACAAGCACAGAACTTCAGCTACAATCTTTCACTCATCCAGTTTATGTGGCATACAATGACTGAATTTCAGTATCCAAGGATTTCTTTAGTATTTGCTACTCTTCTCACAAACCCTTGACTTATGCTGTCAAAAGTCAGAATTCCTTATATCACATGACATGATCTTGAATAACCACTTGCATCATTGATAGAAATAAAGAGCATTCCTAAAAGTGAAGTATCCGGCAAAGAATAATTATCAAGCAGATAGGCTTATTTGCTAGTAAGCTTGCAGGTTTTTATCTCTAACTTTAGATTCCATATTACATTATGTGCACATCATCTTCATGTTGAATGAACTCTCTGCCATCTCTCTGAAAGACCGAGGGAACTCCTTTGATTTGACCGTGGCATGATCAGTTTCTAAATGTATTCTGTCCCGACTCCTGTAACAAATTTTAAAAAAAAGTTTTGAAAAGCTTTTCTAATCGAATATGTAGTTTTAATCAGATAATTCAGTTTATACAGAAATCTACAATTGGCACATTGATATAACTTTCCTTATATAATATTGTTAAAAAGTCTTTATAAAGCATATCATATATATTATATTATATATGTCATATTTTGTCATACTTGTAGTTAAATGGTTTGTGGAAGTCAATGTATTATGACTGAAATATTGCAAGCCTTATACTAAACAATCAAGGTTAATCAATTATAAATTTTAAAAAATAGCATAATTAACCATTAATTTTATCAAATGCATGAAGTATCCTTTTTTAGTTTCTGTTGTCAGGGTTGTTAGAGAAAGGGCATGTTGGACTGAAAACTGTTACTTCAGAGAAAAATCCCTGGGACAAGGTGTTTATATATATATGGGCTTGTTTGTATGTTATTAAATGTCTCTCTCAAGAATTTCTCTCTCAGATGGAGACGCCACCACTTGTCGGTGGACAGATGCAAATTTTGTTCTACACTCAGCACTTACAGCTATTCAGCTGTGAGGGATCTTTTTCATGCCAGCACCTACTGCGACAAGGGACCTTAATTGGGTTATATAAGTATAATATAAGATAAGATATTTTTATAGTGTCTCATCAGAAGAACAGGTCTCCATGTCTCATAGTAAGATTCGAACATGCGATGTAAGGATCAACTCCTTACTTCGTGACTATAGGGCAGAGGCTCTAACCACTGCGCCAGTCCGGCTACTCATGTACCTGAGAGTGTTGACAAATAGCCGTCCAGTGGCAATGAGGAATTTTGACTGCAATAAAATTGACTTACTAATAACTAAGCACCTATGTTCTCCACATCATGGTCTTTTCTGTGCATGGTGGCCATTGGTGGGATTAGCAAGTGGGTCTTCATAGATGAAAGTTCTGAAGCCTAAATGGTACCAGCACACTACATGTGCTAAAAAAAATTTATGTATTTGTGTTAATTATGTCATGTTTCATTTTTCTTTGAATGTACTTAGAGGTGGTCAAGAAAACTTACCCACTTCAAAAACAACACAAAAATAAGTCAAACTTATTGGAATCCATCATCGCAAAACACGGTTTGGATGTTCCGGCCCACAATACAAAAATTGATTTGTTTGATGTACTCTGACAGGTCCGGCACAATGTCTTGATTAAGCTATATAGCTTGATTTAGCTATATAGCTTTATTAAGCTATTCAGAATAGCTTAATTAAGCTATTTTATCACAATTTTTTCTCAAATGTTTTATTTTTTCAGCATGTGCAAAAAGTCGCACCTTGTTGCAGTGGAAATATTAAACTTTGAACTCTTCTGAATACAATGCATGTAAAAATCACTCACCAAATTGTGTCTCCTTGAGAGACTTTGTATTCAAATTTTTTAAAGTTTGGGGGCTATTGATGAGTGACCACACAGTTATTTCTTGAATGAAATTATAAAGGAGGTCAGTTATGGCCAACAGGATAACTGATTGGTAACAGTTCAACACAATGAGAAGCAATCATACTTATCCACGCCAATAATTTTTTCAGCACTGTAAACTTTTATTTTTCTTTTTAAATTTACTAAAATTGTTTCATTTTAAAGCAAAGATGTATAATTTCTATAGGATGCTTTTTGACTGAAAGTTTTTATAACAATAAACTTGTGTAGCTAACAAACATGTCAAATGTGTACTGCTAAGAAATCTGTGATTTTATGACAGTTATCAATTTTTCAGCAGTGTAAACCACACGAAAATTAACCACCTACCTACCCATCTTGAAAATGTGGATCGGAGGGGACAGAGTACATCGAACAAAAATATTTTATTGATCAGTCAACACAGTATTCAGATTCCATATTGAGAAAACAGTGACATTGTATTGTAAACAATTTTGTCATCGGAAAAAAAAAGTTTTTGTGATCTTTGAAAGAACCGAAAAGTATCATTTTTGGGTTACCGACGATGTCAAACCAGCGAACGGCTTCATATCACATGTACATGTGTAGTAGAGGTACTTTTATTTAAAATAATAAAAGTTAAGTGATTTTTAATGATATAAAATAAATATTAAATATAAATTAATATAAATTAAATAAAGTATTAAATAAGTTATAAATGATAGTTTTCCGTTAAAGTTTATTCTTTTCCTTCTTTACTAACTTGATTATTTAGTGCTATAGTTATACACCCCTTTGGATCCACACCTGTACATACACTTTTACATGACCACACACACATCTACTGGTCAAGGTTTGAAATACTCGGTTTTCATTGGTTGGATATTTAGTCTTTGTGGGGTAGTGAGTTTTATTCAGTTTAAGCTCTGAAATTCTGACTTCTAATGGAGAAGACCTAGTTTGTTTTGCTGTTGAAATAATTTATTTCCTAAGACCTTGAGACCTAAGACAATTCTTGAAATGTAAGTTTTTACTTGTTTTATGCTATTAAATATGTTTTCTATAATATTATGTTAAAAATGTGGAAAACAAGATATTTTACTTTTAATTGTTACATTATGAGTTATCTGTCTATTTATTCAGATATTGATAAATCTGATGAAGTTTTCCAATAAATTAAATAGTATATAAACCTGAAAATAGTTTAAAGTGAAGATTTTGGTAATAAGATAATCTAAATAATTATTTAGTTTGAGAAAGGTATTTGTATAGAGCAAGTCCTTATTATTACATTTATTGTACATAGGTAACACCATAAAATAAAGAAATGTATAGTTGAATTGGAAAAATTTCAGTTCCATAAATTGGTATGTCTATCTGTATATATATTTTTATGATTTGTAAAGAAATATCAAAGAAAGATAACTCTTCACAAGATTTTAAAGTGTAATTGTGTTATAAGAGTTAACTCCCTTATATCATGTGTAAAGTATATTTATGTGTTATCATAGTAAATGTTGATAATTAATTGTGGAAAGGGAAGACAGATAATTTGTTATATTTTTTATAATCGGAATGTTTAATTGAAATACTATTTTGTACATATTTTTATGACGCAATTTGTATATTGCAGGACTTCCAATATTTCCACTCATTATTTCCATTATTGTCCGTATTAATCAACTAAG